ATACATTATCATATTAATCCTTCTCTGTAGAGATATCTAGGTATCTAGACTAAGTAGAGTTTAATTCCGTTACCGGACGCATTATCCAACCAACGTCGGTCGGTTTAGTTAGTAAAGTGCAATCACAACCGCTAACGAGTTCCATTCTGGTCTCTGGTCTGGTCTGGGGGTTGAAAACTGAGTTACGTCTGCACGTTTCCAGTATAGGAGAGTAGAAAGCGAGGCGTTCCGGGAATTCCCCAAGGTTCGGGGGCGGCTTTATTACGATGGGGGGCCGCATAATCTATGGAGGGCGGCTCGAAGGGAAGGGTTATGATTGCCATTGTTAATAATTAATCGAGTAATTAATGCAAGAAATTACCTATTATATGTATGATTTCGGTCGGCTTGGGTTGTTGGAGTGGGTTGAGTTGGGTTGGGTGGTGAAGGTGGTGGAAGTAAAGAGAAGGAGGAGGATCGTTGTGAATTATGGCTCTGTAACCTTTAGCTTCGGGGAAACCTTTTATATTTTGACTCTGTTTTAATCGATAGCAACAATAAAACCGATTCGGATTCAGTCATCTTTCATAAAGTTGAATATCAATATTTAGATTTCAATCGTAAAAATAATTTTAAAAAATATAAAAAAGCGACCCCAAGGGAAATGTTGCGATCGTAACAATCAAAAATTCCAAAAAACTTTCAGATAAACTACACTTTTATTCTTTATTGAAATAAATGTTTTCGAGCACATTCCTAACAAAACGTCAAGGGGAATTTTTGATTGATGACTCTACCCAACTGTGTAGCAGTACAAAAAAAATATCGACCTCTCGTTACAATTAGAACCGTGAGTCTGACATTCTGTGTACAATTTCAGCCTACATACTTTTGTAATTAACACGTCTGTCACGTTTTAACACACTTCTTGGGAAATAATTGGCCGCCAATTAACCTTTATTTGAAACTTCAATAAAAAAAGTCGATTAAACTTTTTTATTTGGCTTACAAAATATGCGTTTAATGAGAAGCGATAAAATGGTTGGTAAAACTGTAAATAGGGCGACCGCGTGTCGATTATTTTAATAAAATTTAATCAAAATAAAAAGGTTATTAAACATTCATCTTGCTAATCTATGCGATATTTAAAATGATTTCATTTATTTGAAACTGAAACGATTTCAAAAACCAGCAATTTTTATAACATATTCTTTTAAATTAATGAAATATAAAGCAAAAATCGTTTTTCAAAATCAAAAAACGACTCAACCATAAACAGTATAATATACAAGCCCGTATATATTTTCTTTTTTCTCCCTTCTTTCTGTCATCCCATTTTTCACAAAACTGCTCTCGATCCAAAGTGAAGTCGTCGTAGTTGTTGGGGAGGGAAGTTTATGAAAGGAGCGTGTTGGTGTGTTGTGCCGTCTGGCAATGCTGAAACATACTCACACACGCACAGTAAGTAGTCTCTTTCGGTGCTATATATGAGACAACTACAAGCGTCAACTTAAACGGTCGGTCTCTTCTCTTTTCTTTCCTTTCTACTCTCTCCTCTTACGCGCTTTTCGTACTTTTCGAGTGGTCGTCCCTGTATATACTTGGAATAAAAGAGAAAACGATCACATTGAAGGGTTCAACGTGCGACTATCGAGGACCTCTATTGAGGTTTTACAACCCCTGTTATTACAAAAGATCTTGATAATTTTAAGTTTTTTTTTTAATGAGTATGAAATCTCTAAGAGAAGGATATAGTTTTTAAACGAATGTAACATAGTAATTAATTATTTTTTTATCACATTTTACTTCTATTAACGCTTTGATAACTATTTCATCAATTTCAGCACAAGACGTATCAATGTAACACTATGTGTTAACTTAGTAAAACGAAAAGATGCTGATTTTGAAGGAATGGCGCAGAACGTGTTTATGGAAACTAAGAAATGATATCTATGTCAAATTAATGATAAAATCATGCTTTTTAAAACAAAGGATGGGGATCCATCGAAAAGATTTTGTAAAATTGGCTTAAATGTGACTCTATGTGATAACTTAGTAAATCCAAAAAAAAAGTTTAAGTTTAAAGAATGGTGCAGATCATGTTTATGGGATCTAAGAAATAAGTTCTATATCAAATTAAAGATAAAGTTGTACACTTTAAGATAAAGTATAGAGAGTCACGATCCATCGAAAAATTTTTGANTCCCAAAAAAACGTTTAACTTTAAAGAATGGTGCTGATCATATTTATGGGATCTAAGAAATGAATTCTATGTCAAATTAAAGATAAAATTGTGCACTTTAAGATAAAGTATAGAGAGTGACAATCTATAGAAAAAATTTTTAGAAAACTTTATAAATGTAACTCCACGACTTTACTTGGTAAATCTTAAAAAAACGTTTAACTTTAAAGAATGGTGCAGATCATATTTATGGGATCTAAGAAATGAATTCTATGTCAAATTAAAGATAAAATTGTGCACTTTAAGATAAAGTATAGAGAGTGACAATCTATCGAAAAATTTTTGAGAAAACTTTATAAATATGACTCTACTTCTCAACATGATAAATCACTAAAAGAGGTTTAACTTTAAAGAATGGTACAGATCATGTTTATGTGATCTAAAAAATGAATTCTATGTCAAATTAAAGATAAAATTGTAGACTTTAAGATAAAGTATAGAGAGTGACAATCTATCGAAAAAATTTTGAGAAAACTTTATAAATATGACTCTACGTCTTTACTTGGTAAATTCCAAAAAAACGTTTAACTTTAAAGAATGGTGCAGATCATATTTATGGTATCTAAGAAATGAATTCTATGTCAAATTAAAGATAAAATTGTGTACTTTAAAATGAAGTATTGAGAGTGAAAATCCATCGAAAAATTTTTGAGAAAATTTTATAAATGTGACTCCACGACTTTACTTACTAAATCCTAAAAAAACGTTTAACTTTAAAGAATGGTGCAGATCATATTTATGGGATCTAAGAAATGAATTCTATGTAAAATTAAAGATAAAATTCTGTTTTTTAAGAGAAAGTATACGGAATGAATATCCGTGGAAAAATGTTTGAGAAAGCGGTATAAATTTTACTATATGTGTTAAGTTGGTATAAATTGTAAGAAAACGTTTAACTTTAACAAATGGTAGACATCATGTTCGTAGAAATTAAGAAATGGGTTGTATGTCAAATTAAAGATAAAATTGTGCTTTTTAAAATATAGTATACGGCGTAAAAATCCATCAACAAATTCTTGAAAAAACTGTATAAATATGACACGTGTTAACTTAGTAAATTGCAAAAAAAACTTTTAACTTTAAAAAGTGGTACTGATCATGTTTATAGGTATTAAGAAATGAGTTCTATGTCTAATTAAACATAAAATTGTGCTTTATAAGATAAAGTATTCCACCTGGAACTCCATCGGAAAATTATTAAGAAAAGTATAAATATGCGATTTTATGTGTTGACTTAATAAATTGCAAAATGAATAAGTTGTAACTTTATAAAATCGTACAGATATTTTTTATGCAAACAAAGAAATGGGTGTCACATCAAATTAAAGATTAATGTGTGTTCTTTAAAATTAAGTATCCCACCTAGAAATCCATCGGAAAATTATGGAGAAAACTAATAAAACCTATACCTTGAACTTTATAAAATCGTACAGGTCTTATTTATGGAAAAAGTTTTGCGTCAAAATAACCACAAAAGTGTTCTTTTTCAGACAAAGTATTCAGTTTTTAATTTATTTATTTATTATTCTAAACTAATAAATGATTTCTACATCAAATTAGAAATGAGACTGTTCTTACACATAAAATAATCAGTCTGAAAATGCAATAAAACTTTTTATCTGTTGAATTTTTTTGATTTAAATATAATATTTAAAATGTACTTACCTTTTTAATTTTAAAGGATATTTTGTTGTAAGTAAATAACAAGAAATTAATAATTTTATTTGTATTTTTATTACATGACTCTTCTAAAATTGTTTACAATATACAAGAGGGGATCTGTAAATTTATAGATTGACTAGTGAAGGGGAGGAGGAACTTTGTATAACACAAGCATTAAAGATAAATTAAATTAAATACAATTTTTCGATAACAAACAAAATTAGTCTTAAATAAAAACGAATATACATTTTTTTTTAGTTTTATCGCAGTAACGTTTTAAAACTCTCAAATTTGTACTCATTTATAACCAAAGGAACGTCCGTGTGAACACTTCTTTCTATCTTACCTTTTTTTCTCCTTCTTTTTATTTATTTATTTTTTTATTAAATCGAAATTAACTTAAAAATAAAACGATTAATAAGAAGAATTATTTACAATCGATTATTTACAAGATTTTTCGTTTCATTTAGTTTTTATGTATAAGCGCGATACGAAATTGATATGTTCGATTTCTTAATTTTTTTTTTATTTTCGATTTATTTATTATTCTTAATTTTTCGTGGTGTATATGATTTCGTTTTCGCATTTATTATTATTATTTTTTTTATTTAATTTTCTTTTTTTTTTCGATTTCTAAAACGTATAGACTAGTAAAAAATTGATATGCCTCATCATACCCTGTTCAACAAACTAAATCGAATTTTATTTATTGCTTTCTTTCACGCCCGAAACAACAAAACACATTTTTTCTCTCACTTTCTTTTTTATTATTTACAAACCTAATTTATGACAAGTCTTAGGGTTTACCTAAAATATTGCACTTTAATGGATTTTTGTCCTTTTTTTTTCGAAAATATCACTAGAAATACTGATTATTTTCACCTCTCTTTATACATACCGCTTTTCAATTAATTTTAAAGATAGCGTTCTTTATTTCTTCTTCTGTAATACGCGGTGCGGTAAAATGATTACAATCAAATTGAACGTTTTAAAATCGTTTTATCGCACCTTGTAATAATACTGTGCAAGGAAAGAATGGTTATAACCATATTTTATGTTCACTATATACAAATTTAATCGATTAATTTAAAAGTAGTTGTGAATATTACATTTTTTTTTGTATAAAAATTGTACTAGGTAATATTAATTATTGATTTCTTTACAAAATAATGAGTTTATTACGGTTTTTTCACGGCTGGTTTCCTTTTTAATTTTAGTTTCACCCAAATTGTTCTTGGTTATATTGATATTGACCAAATAATCCCTTATTAAACTCACCCGCGTGTTGTTCGTTATCATTTTCGCTGGGAAACTCGCCTTTAACCGCATCAACCGCATCAATCACTTGATATCAATTCACAGGAAACCCAAAATTAACATCCGGTCAGTGTTGCGCAGCAAATTTCATACGTTTCTGCTTTTGTCGTTGATTACAAAACCACACGCGAACTACATTCTTTTTCAAATCCAATTTCTCGGCTATTGCCGCAATTTTTTCGCCTGAAGGTCTGGGTTGGACTGCAAAATAAGCTTCTAAACTTCGTTTTTCAGGAGCAGCTATTGACGTCCTCTTTCTTTTCTTTTCGCCGGCTGGTAAAACACTGGGCGCATCCGGATCTCGCCTTTTATTTTTTGCCTGAGCCTCAGCTTCTTCTAACCACGCTTGAAGGATAGGTTTCAATGCGATCATGTTGTTATGGCTTAATGTTAACGATTCAAATCGACATATCGTTGATTGCGATAAAGCACCAACCCCTGGCAATTTCAAATTAGCTAAAGCTTTACCGACATCAGCTTGGGTTACTCCTAATTTGATTCGTCGTTGTTTGAACCTCTCCGCAAACGCTTCTAATTCTCTTGGATCCGTATCCGCATCCGGATGTAACCCAGCAACGGCTGCTGCAGCGGCTGCAGCAGCCATCGCAGGGTGATGAGCTCCCGGATGTCCACCATGATGACCAGGATGATGTCCTGGTGCACTATGCCCTGAAAGTGGTCCCCCGTGATGATGATGGTTCATCACATGATTCATTCCATACGAGTGCATATGCGTTGGCGTCTCTGACATTGGTGTTAATGTGGTCATCGATGAAGTTGATATTGGATCTAACATTTCTAAACCGTCCATGTGACTCATCTAAAAATAACGGATAAAAGGAGTATTAATAAAATATAGTGTTTAAATTTAGTTGGGAAGGTTAAAAACAGCGACGTGTACCGATCGAAAAGAATACAGTATGGCAATCAGCGCCCCTCATCTCATTCAAAATTTACGAGGCCGTTATTTCGTGATAGGCTGCATTCGGGTGGGAAATACACAGCCTATACGGCCACCACCACCGGCACTAGATTGATTACTCTCGTTGATGTTACTTGAAAATTGGAAAAAAGGGTGTAAAAGGAACGAAAAAAACGAGTCGAACTAAAACCAAATATAAAAAGAAATCATGAAAAACAAATAAAAACAAAAAAATAAATAACTTGTTTGAAGATGGTTTAATAAATTTGATGTATAAAAGAATTATTTTTTATAATTTAGCAAAAAAGACACTTTCTACTAGGAGATAACGAAACATGATTGACTTCATAATAACCATCACAGCTATTACACCTCCTCAAATAGTAGATGTTAGTATTTTAACAGCAGCCAACCTAATCACAACCTGGTTTTATGCAAAATACTAATGGAACGACCAATCGACACCAAAAGAAGCCCACATTGAAAACTTTATGAAAACAGACTAGCAAATAAACTTGTTGCGTCTGTTGTTCCTCATAAATTTATCTGACATCCTATGGACATAGTTGTGACAAAATCTTTTGCGCTGTCTTCTCCATCTCACAATGTCCTAAACGTCGCATTAATATCTGGTGTCCGATTTCTAAAATTCGTCCCATATATTCTTGATAGAGAACTCTTGACATACTGTTTATTTGTTTGTGTCTTCGCCTATTTAAATGCCATAAATTATTATTAGGCAGGTATTGTATATTACAATCTATACACAGTATACACATTGTTGATCTGACTTCTTAGGTTGTTTGCAGAATCTTAAGTGCTTGAGATGTCGACACCCAAGTAGGAAAATTTAATGATTTGTATTGTTGACTACTCGTATACATCTTCTGGGATCTTTGGTATCAGTATACATTTAGTTTTTACAGTAAAGACCGCCATGTTCAGGGTTTCGCTCTCTTTATAGTTGTCTTTGCTGGTCATCCACTAAATTCCATTGGTGTTTCTGTAACCGCACTTTGTTTAATATAAAATAAATGACCACAACCTGATTTTATGCAAAATACTAATAGAAAGACCAACCACGATCAAAAGAAGCCCATATGCGTGGAAAAATACAACATTGAAAACTTTATCAAAACAGGCAAATAAACTTGTTGCGTCTGTTTTTCCTGATAAAGTCTACACCTCAAAAATCTCCTAACAAGTTGATTGCTATTGTCTCTCCACCTTTTTGGTGAACTCTTGCGCTGTCCTTCCCATCTCACAATGTCCTGAACGTCGAATAGATCTATGGTGTCGGATTTTTAATATTCTGTCTTATCTAGTCTTTGCTGAGATTAGTAGTCTCTCCTCAAAGTGTTCATTTCTGCTCCTCTTGACATACTGTTTATTTTTTTGTGTTCGCGTATTTAAATGCCACAAATTATGCTTCGGCGGATATTAGGCAGGTATTGTATATTATTATCTATACGCATTGTTTATCTGACTTCTTAGGTCGTTTGCAGAATCTTGAGTGCTTGAAATGTGCACACCCAAGTAGGAAAATTCTATGATTCGTTCGATGAGGAATGTTGGCTACCCGCATACATCTTTTTGGATCTCTTGCTATCACCATGCATTTAATTTTTACAGTAAAGACCGCCATGTTCAGGGTTTCGCTCTCTTTATAGTTGTCTTTGCTGGTCATCCTCTAAGTTCCATTGGTGTTTCTATAACCGCACTTTGTTAAATGTAAAATAAATGACCAAAATAAAATTGATTTTATGCAAAACACAATAGAAAGAGGAACCAAGACCAAAAGAAGCCCACATATGTGGAAAAATACAACATTGAAAACTTTATGAAAACAGGCAAATAAACTTGTTGCGTCTGTTTTTCCTGATAAAGTCTACACCTCAAAAATCTCCTAACAAGTTGATTGCTATTGTCTCTTCATCTTTTTGGTGGACTCTTGCGCCGTCCTTCCCATCTCACAATGTCTTGAACTGATCTCTGGTGTCGGATTTTTAACATTCTTTAACATGGGGTAGTCTGATGCCTGCTACTATCTTGATGCCTTACCCCTAACCCTTGTGCCTTCCCATTCCGCCTTTACAAATTTTGTTGTTTTCTTATCCTTTTGGAAATTTACCTTCAGTTTGATTTTCGTTTTTGCTGTCTTATATTTCCTCGAGACAGTTGTTTCATATTCACATTTCCGTTTGTTTCATTCAACTGATTACACTTAAATTGAAGTATTTTGTGATTTTATGTCGAATTACTTTAAGTTAATTTTTTGATCTGTTGTAATTTTCGTCTATTTGAAATCTCTCATAACATATTTTCTTTACATTGTTCACTGGATTACCGACCTAACATAAAAAATAGATTTAACCTAAAATAAGAACAATTCTGTTACGTTCTCCTACCACGCTACATTTGAGTTCTTGTATTTTCTGATAATTCATATTTTTGTTGACTTTAATTGATTTTATTCTGCAGAATGTTGTTGACGTTAAAACCCCTATGACGTAAGTTTATAAGTGTTTATTTTAATTTAAGTTAATTCACTTATTTTTTTAAACGTTTGTAGAAGTCTTCTGATGATGTTCAGTGGACGAAACCGGTAAAGGCAAATAAATTAAACAAAATTCACCACAGTAAAAAATCGTTTTTTGATACTTATTTTAACATTCTGTCTCATCTAGTCTTTGCTGAGATTAGTAGTCTCTCTTCAAGGTCTTCATTTCTGCTCCTCTTGACATACTGTTTATTTTTTGTGTTCGCGTATTTAAATGCCACCAATTATGATTTGGCGGATATTAGGGAGGTATTGTATTTTACTATCTATACGCATTGTTTATCTGACTTCTTAGGTCGTTTGCAGAATCTTGAGTGCTTGAGATGTGCACACCCAACTGGGGAAATTCTATGACTCGTTCGATGAGGTATCCACATACATCTTTTGGAATCTCTTGCTATCACCATACATTTAGTTTTTAAAGTAGAGACTGCCATGTTCAGGGTTTCACTCTTTTTATAGTTGTCTTTGCTGATGATCCATTGAATTCCATTAGTGTTTCTGTACCAGCACTTTGTTAAATAGCTGGGTTGGCATTTCTGTTAGTTCTATTTGGTTCTTTATATTTGAGCAATTAATTAAATCTGTTGTAGCTTCCGGTAAAATTCCCGTTTTTCAGTTAGCATGTTTTTCCTTAACTTCCTCTATCTGGATAATAGTACTTGAGGTTTCAAGCTCATTAACGTTTGTTGCTACTTCTGTGAAGTATAGTTGTTTAGAATATTTTTTTCAATCTTACTTTGTCAACATAGTTTTCTGTACGTACTCTTTGAGAAGTGACTTATTTCATTTTAGAGCATTTTCCAAACTTTTCTTAGTACTCAATACAGATTATAGTCCATATCGCTCCTGAATTTGTACCAATATTGTCTCTTTATATCTTTTATTCTGGAGTGTACTCCGTTTTGGTTGTGAGTGTGCTTCTTTAAGATAAATAGCTTCTCTTTTTTAGTTCTGCCAGATTCCTAACCTCTTCGCAAAACCCGGATTTCATGTTTTAGGTTGCGATGATGTTAAATTTCCTTTTACCGATGGCTTCTTCTACTGCCTCGTCGATACATTTGTTGCTGTTTAATTTAGTTTTTATTATTTTCGAATAGCTGTAATTATGTAGTATATCACTGATTCCTAGTCTCTACTGTTATTATATTTGTTGGTATATTTGTTGGTATATTTGTGTTGTTCTTTATGCGGGAGTATGTGTTATTTTTGTTTTGTTCTAGAGAAGAAGTCTATTAGTAGCTCTCCGTTTTCATTGAGTATTGTTTCGTTGTATTTCTGCGTCATTCTTTCTATAGTATCATTGCCAATTCAAGCATTAAGATTTCCGAGTATTATTACCTTATCGGCTCTATTTGCCAAGTAGTCTTATTCCTTATTTTGTAAACACACTTTTTCTTAGGATGTTTCTTCCTGAATATTTATCGGAAAATGTGTCACAAACGATGAGCCGTATCGCTGTTTGAAGGATGCAATTATAATTTGGCAAGATCAATCGGTGCAATAATTCTTCGATGGTTACTAAACGATATGATACAATGCCCGTATTGAATGGGTAATTGATTTTGTATAAATGATATATCTTTTTACACATTTTCTCATAAAAGGGAGCAGGCTAACATTTGATCTTCTTTGCAAACGCCTGCCATACCTTTATTGTACTCAACCACACATAACGGATTGATAATATTTTCAAAATTTTCTGTAAAAGTTTGTAACTAGTACTTTTGATATACCTTTTCTGTTATTACGAACAGTTTTAGGAACGAATACCACATTTAATGAAGGCTACACATTATAGCTTGACAATTAGTTGCACTACCCTGTAGCATAATGTTTTCAAAAACCTTTTTTAAGATTTTTTTAAGTTAGAAGTGGTTCTCAATATCCAAAATCCAAAACAACTTTGTCTCCAACGATTCCTGATTTTGTATATTTGCACAAAACTGCCCTTCATTTAGAATTATGAATCGGTTATCTTTGATGGGTGATAGGTTGAGTAAAATTGAATCAACGATACTTCTGACATTTTCTTGTGTGATAATAAATCAAAAAAAGGTAATGAATAAAAATTTCTTTCTTAATGTTTGTATTAATAAAATAAAAAATCAACTACGTGTAGATCATTATACGGCTTAAAAATGGAAAAATAATAAAAATTCTTTTAAAATGACTCTTTCCATTCGCTCTTAACTCAGTCCCAATACACCATCTGTCAACGTGCAATAAAAGAGCCCTTTACTGAAAATGGTAGCAGTAACCATCCAGTTCGATGGTGTCATTACCACGCACTGGAATGCCCACGAGGGCCGTAAATTGAGGAAAGAGGAAATTTTCGGTTTTCAGGCGACAAAAAGAGAGAGCCACCCCGCGTTTTATTTCCCCCTTTCAATCGAAGGGGCGTGAATATCGAGTTTATACATACTCTTCCCGTTTGATACAGACTCCACATACACATACAACTACCCTTGTATCTTTAAAAACCTATAATCAACCCAAACATTTTTATGATTATTATAAAAAATTAATAAAGAAAACTAATATATCATTCAAAACATGTATCCGTGAGTAATATATCTAGTTAAATTCCGATGGATGATTCAACATTACTGTGTCGTCATCCCCATGGGTAAGATATTTCATCATTAGCTTACACATTGGTGTAAAGTGGTCATTTCACGTGTACAACACGGATCCGAAGGGGGCCCACCGGCCGAGCCGGGCCAAGTGTATACGGGTCATGGCACCCGAGGGAAATGTTACGTGGTACCCGGGACCAACGTATAAGGGTCGCGACCCTATCTCCCCGGTCGCTTGGTGGCTGCAAGGCATTGCGACACTTTCACCAACGACGCCAGTATTTGTCAAGTATACAAAAAAAAATAATTCAGACAAATATTCATAATACTTTGTTACCCCAATGATAATGGTTTAAGATAAAAAAGAGGGATAATAATAAATAAAAGTTGAAACAAACCTGATGTGGCCTGCTGACCGGTGGAGGTGCCCCCATGCCATGGTGGTACATCATGTCGTGTTTCAATTGGGGCAACCCTCCGGGGCCACCGGATGTCTGATGTTTTATGTCCACAGCCGCGAGGGCTTCCGCCCTACTGATTAAACCATCGTTCAATCCGGAAAAAATATCACCCTGTAACAAAATAATTTATAATGCTTTTTAATTATATTGTAGTCTTTTCTATAAAACAAATTGTATAGAGAAATAATTACAGTAAAACCTCGATATGACGGATTAATACGGGGAAGGGAGTGACCGTTATAGCCAAAAGTCTGTTAAATGAATAATTTTAATGCAGACAAATTCGAACAGCTAACCACAACGTTGTGTTCAGTCTACGTGACTTTATATTTAATCGAAACACAGTAGAATCTAAGAGGACTGCTACATTCCTGGAAGAAATGCTTAGTTCGAAGGTCTATTCGTGACGTTAATTATAATTAAAACTAGAAGTAACACTAGATTTAGAACTAGAAAGTTTCGGGTTTAGACTTGCGTTTTAATTCAATAAAAATATACCACATGCGCTACCTAACACTGTCATTAGAACTAATATTATACCTAGAACTAGAAAGTCTGAAGACTATAAGAATAGTGGGACAAACAGATTATTAGGGTAGATATGGAGCTTGGGGAACAAATATTTGAAAAAAATGTATTTGATGGATCATGTATTTGATGGATTTCTAACGAGTGTGATAATGTATGGATCGGATATATGGAGGTGGAAGGAACACAAGATGATGGAGGAGCTCCAAGAGAAATATTGAAGGTAGGTCTCGGGGTTGAGCACGGAGACTCCGAGATATAAAGCGAAAAAAGAGTAGAAGCTGAAGAAGATAGGGGTACAAGCAGGCAAAAGGGCCACAAAGTACGAGGGTGGGCTGGAGCAGAGGAGCGACTTTAAAAATTTGGGAAAGTGTTGAAGGGAGGTTAAGACTGCGGTGGGAAAGTATGGACAGCAAAGAAGGGAATATTATATCAGAGTAGGATACTCAACGGAAAATATACAAAGAAGGAACAGGGAGGAATCAACACTGTTTAATTAGTTGTGTGGTAGAGATAGAGATGTGGAAGGAAGAAGAACGTCGTGCTCAGTTGGAAGGCAGGATATAATATAATAATAATGAAGGAAATTCCGGGGTGTTTAATGGATGAGGGTAGAGGGAAGGAAAAAAGTATGATTACGCGATATAGGTGCGGGAGTGAAGAGAAAGCAGTTAAATATTGGGTAGGGGATGAGGAGAAGATGTGAAACAAAACTTATTGGAAAGACTATGACCAATAGTGTATTGACATAGGGCTGTAAAGTTTGGACAGTGAAAGAGGAAGAGTTGTCGCAGTGGAGAGAATTCGAAATAAGGACATTGGAAACAGAACGTCAACAACGGAAACTGTCATGAACAGGGTTGAAATGTAAGGTTTGAGATAGCTGAGGAAAGCAAAATACATCCATGGACAGTACCTGGAAAAGAATGAGGGCATCCTTGAAGATCATGGTATGAAGACATATTGATGTAGCTGGATAGAAGGATGTGACGATTGGGAATAGAAATGCAGCAGCGGGCTGTCCGACTGATGTACTCTATGTATAGTTTATTATATTGTACTTGATTGATCCCAAAAAATAAATGAATAAGTTATTTGAACAGAATGAGGAACTCTAGAGTTTTATTGAATTGGATTTGATATCCATACTGTTCACTATTTACGTGACCTTTAAAGTTGCACGCTAAAAACTAATTAATAAATAAGGAATAAAAACCTCTTACTTGCTTTCATTATATTTTATTCGAAACTAGTTTCGAGGTACAAACCTCATCTTCAGTCGAACTACAAAGAAACCAAATAACAATTATAAACAAATTTGTTACAAACATGTTAAAATAACCACAAGGTTTACCCATGGGAATGCCATTATCTGGATTGCTGGCGGATATATTTTTGGATCATATTGAAAAGAATTTCATCATGAATGAAGCTAATCCTTACGTGAACAATATTGGCTGTTGGGCTAGATATGTGGATGAAAGTGTGGTCTTTTGTGTATGGAAGGGGAATAAGAAATCTTTCATAACTTTCACAATTACATCAATAGTTTACAGAACAATCTTAAATACACACTGGATATGGAAGAAAAAGGAAACCTAATTTCTTGGACTTGAGCTTAACGAGAACCAAAGATCATTTAATTGAATATGGGATTTTTAGAAAAACTTCAGCTATAGCCACTACCATACCATACAATTCAGAACACCTTTGTCCCAAAAATTAGCTAATTTTAGATTTTTAATTAATAGAATTTTCAGCTACCCATTAAGNTTGAGCTTAACGAGAACCAAAGATCATTTAATTGAATATGGGATTTTTAGAAAAACTTCAGCTATAGCCACTACCATACCATACAATTCAGAACACCTTTGTCCCAAAAATTAGCTAATTTTAGATTTTTAATTAATAGAGTTTTCAGCTACCCATTAACACAAAAGAACAAGACAGAACAAATTAATTACATATTTGAATTAGGCCACAACAACGGCTTTCCTAAAAATATCATTTGTAGGTTGTTTTCTAAATCTCAAAAACAAAAGGATCTATTGTTTATTAGAGAAGTGCAGCAAAATAAATATAGGCACATAACATTTAATGACATCACTTTACAGGCACAACATATTTTTTCTAAATATGGAATTTCATTAGCATTTTCAAATAGCAACACCATTTTAAGACTTCTGTCAAATTATCACAAAAACATTGGACAGACAGGTCGAAGGCTGGAAACTCGGGGCAGGGAACATAAGACAAGGAGCAATTCAAATGTTTTTAAACATCATATGGAAACAGGACATAATATCAACTATAAAGAAACAAAATTACTTCATAAATGTGAGAAGAGTTTTAAAATGGATCTTTTCGAAATCCTGGAAATTATGAAACATAAAAATGATAATAACATTAATCTTCTTAATGATCAACTCGAATTATTTAAAAAACCTATTTTTACTTTTTTAAACGATTTTACGTTGAAACCTTAGTTTTTATTTGTGGACGTGTTGTCTTGTTTTGGTCTTGTCTTTTTAGTTTGTAAAACGCGTTGTAATGTGTTTTAGTATCTTAAATAGAGTATTGATGTTTCGAAAACTTTTATAGTAAAATTTTGACTGTGAGTATTTACAAAATTAGTTCAATAGATTATAAATATATTATTTGTGGTCATTTTAACATGTTTGTAACAATTTTGTTTATAATCGTTATTTGATTTCTTTGAAGTTCGACTGAAGATGAGGTTTGTACCTCGAAACTAGTTTCGAATAAAATATAATAAAAGCAAGTAAGAGGTTTTTATTCCTTATTTAATTAATAGATAACTTGCAACATGGACAACGTGATTAAATATGTAGGATGTTGCAAAAAAAAGTTGAATCGTTTTCCGGAAAAACGTGAATTCATAAAGTATAGCACACAACTTAGAATCAAGCATTAACATTAAAAATTAGAGTTAAACCGTTAGTTGAAAGCAAATTGTTTACCTAGGCTTCATCAGTTGCAACATTAGGGAAACCAGTAATATTTTTTATAGCAGTCTGAAGACGCACGTCTAGTGTTAGTTCTACTTTTACATTAACACTGTTACTATGTAGAACTAACAGTATACCTAGAACTAGTATCATTTGGGTTTAACCCCACTTCTCTAAAGACGGCTAAACCCGAATGATTCTAGTTCTAGGTATAGTGTTAGTTCTAGTTTTACACTTGCACTGTCACTAGAACTAACATTAGACGTAGAACTAGAAACATTTGGGTTTAGCCGTACGTCTCTTAAGACGGCTAAACCCGAATGAGTCTAGTTCTGGGTCTAACGCTGCATAAATATTAAAACTAGAACTAATACTAAACCTAGAACTAGAAAGTGTCGGGTTCAGCCGTGCGTCTTCAGATCTGGTGTTAGTTCTAGTTTTAGTTCAATAAAGATATACAACATAGGGGTATCTAGTGCTAACTAGCGCTACCTAACACTGCCACTAGAACTAATATTAGACCTAGAACAAAAAACATTGTGTTTCAGCCGTACATCTTTTAAGACGACAGACGACTTAGGACGGAAATTCAATAAAAAATACAATAATCTAGACCTGAATAAGAATTACAACTAAAACTACCGTCCTTAATTTATGCAACATATACATAACTCGGGGAATACCCCGGATATTTTGTCTGTTATATCCGAAGTCCGTTATACCGAGGTTTTACTATATTTTATTTTTTATTTAATAACATTTTTATATTTAACAATAGAAAACGATATGTTGAAATGTTTGAAAGTGAAATTGTCCTCTTTTATATGTCGGTTATAAAATGGCTTGTAAAAGCTCATCATTTTTTTTTCTCTGAAATTTACCAACACGTGCGGTAATAGTTGTCGACGAGAGCATGCCGTGGAAGCAGCAGCACTACGGGCGGTAAATATTGGATTAAGCAAGCACGGCGTCGGCGGCCCGAGCGTCCCGACGCCGGCGCTCCTCTAAAATTTATGCGCTGAAATTATGATAAAATGATACGGTAAATTATTTATGATTTTTTCCTCCCGACTTGCCGCCCTAACGCGGCCGCAATTACGACCATCTAGCGACTCGATTTTTAAACGACCTTCTCATCGGCCGAATATCAATATAGCGCCGAGTATATTATACTTTGCTCGGCCGTCGTGACGCCGACGCCGACATCGGCGACGACCAAACTAATGAAATACAATATTAATGAGATGGTGGTGGTCGGTTCGCGGCGGTCGGCGCGTTTACATTTACGTTTAATCAAGTGTCCAAATTGATGTTTGTTTGCACTCGCATATCGATACCATGTATAACGTATTGAGTTTTATATACGGCGCGAGCTACAATTCGGAAATTATCGGTTATTATTACCATTATTGAGGTAATTAACTCGGAATTATTTATTATAAATCATTATATCGGTAGATTATAACATATTTATATTTATAAAAATCAGAACAAAACGTTCATCATGGATGAGTCAAATAAATTATAAGTTATCATTAATATTTATATGTTTTATGGAATTTGTTGGATATCTATAGATACTTTTATCGAAGAACAACTGTAACCTCAGATAAT